AGGGAAAAGAAGTTTCGCGGGAACTAGAGCAAATAAATTAGCTGCGCTTAGAGTATCGGCACTCTCTTCCCCGTCAGTGTTGTGAACGCCGCCATTCTGGTGCTTGTGCAGAGCAGGCGCAACTGCCGATCGTCATGATTCAAGAGTGCGACATCCTCAGCATTAGATTCGGTGTTAGGAAGCTCATGTAAGTGTCGCTACTCTGACGCGTAGCTTATTTATTGACACTATTCATGCTCTTGTTCAAGAGGCTTGTAATACCTGGAGGGGCCATGACGTAAGCCCCATGGATTCCACAAGCCACTACCTTTTGACACCTGCCTCTTCCTCATTGTTCCCGCTTGTGCCAGTAAATTAGCCACGGTTCAGAGTAACGGCACTTGGCCATATTGTGGCTTAAAATCATGGTTGCCAGTTACCTGAAGCTTCATCTGAAATCACAGGAAACGCTTTTCCGTCCCCCACAAATGTTTAAACAACGCACGACAGAGCATTGCAATATTGCATCAACTTCCTAGCAGCGCATCTAATGCCGAGGAAGTCGTACTTTTGGATCATGACGATCGGCAGTTGCGTTTGCTCTGAACAAGACCCAAAATGGCGGCGCCCAAAACAATTTTGGGGAACGGAGTGCCGATACTTTAAAGCTCATTTAGTGACTCTAGGCATGAAGTGAACTCGGGTGCATTATTTTCCTCTTCGTCTTTATTGTTTATTGATTTCAATCATATCGAATAATGAACACATTATATCCGTGTGTAATTATTTGTCTTAGATTTATTAACCTGACCCAGTACTTAAACCATTCATTTATGGTTAGTAAATCTTCTAATATATTTTTTTTTAAATGTGAAGGTAAAAAGACACGGAGATTGATGATACAGACGCCAACGCCGCCCTCGGAAATTTTTTGAACACTAGAAATCAGCAGTTTGTCTGCCATCCACCAGGTAGCGCAGCAAAACACCCAAACAGTTTTTATTGTTTTTAAAATTAGCTAAGCTCTACACCTAGTAAGAAACCAAAGCCAGTTCATTGTGAAAATTTAATACATCTCAATGTATATCTATTCCAAACAATAAATGTTATTAGATGTCAATAAATCTGTTTGATGTCCAAAAAAGATATGCGTCAAAAACAGGTAAGTTTGAAGGGCTCCTGGAGCGTTATGACTTTGAAAATGAAAAAAAGCCATCGTCCACCTCTTGGGCAACCAATGTAGCTCTAAATGTTATAAAAGATTTTATCATAGTTTAATTATTTCCTCAGCGGCATTTGAAGTACCATGACTCGAAGCACAAAAAAAAAAAAAAAGTGCTACGTTTGATATAAAATATCTAAACAAAAATTTTTTACACAACATTAAATATTTTTTTGCATATTACCAATTATAAGCACTACATCTGTAGCTAATTTCATTGCCCTAGCTCTTGTCATTAAAAACATATTTGTGCTGAAAAATGTCAATTTTAGGGCAATATTTGGTGGGATGAAAAAAACAAAGTAGGGCAAATACCAAAAAAGTGTATCGTTACATTCTGCTCCGACATCATCTTAACAAAACTGCTATATTGGAACCGTGCCATCTTTAATGGATCGTTCATAAAACATGAACTAGCGGAGCAAGTGAGGGTCCGCGCCATCATATTCGCAACGCTACAAACGCGCATGAACAGTAAAAACCAACACATACATAATATCAAATGAAAGAGGATTGCATTGCCTTTCGAAAGACATCAATCCCACAAAACAGTATTTAAAAGGAGATGAGTAATGACCTGCCAAAAAAGTACCTAAACTGCCACCTTCAGTGGGACCGTGGCCTTAAAAAGTAAAGATATATCCTGTCAACACAAATAATCATCACCTGTATAGTCACCATGGGATGTGGCGGGTGGATCGTCGTTGGGCGGATCGTCGGAGAATGATGCCCGGCCCGCTGGTGCCCTTCGGACGAAGATGACGATGCCGACCGGTTCAAGCCTGGCGGAGTCGATTTCGAGGACGGGACATAGCCGGCCTGAGCTCCGCAACCCCAGAAGACAGCCGTCAAATCTCGCGCCTCTTTATCCTTCTCCTTTTTTCGTGCTGCCAAAAATTTCTCCTTTATTCCTTTTCTTTTTATTGTCTTATAAATCATGACAGACAAGCTACAGAGGCGATGTTTTGAATTTATTTAAAACAACTGCAACTGAGGTAAACGTGATCGAAGGTACATAATAATCTCTGTTTAGCCCATGATTTACATTTAATGCTTAGACAAAAAAATAAAATAAAAAAGGCAAATGATAGCTGCCTTTTATTTTATTCACGGCAGTTTTTCGTTTATTCGCGGCGAGAAGTTTGGGTATCACCGCCTGGTGGAATTTTTTCACAACCCAGAGTGAGGATAGTTCAAATTCCTCTGCTGGTGCAAGCACGTGCAATGCCAAGCTTCTAAGCACTAGCATAACCGCGCGGGTAGCACTACCCAAAGTGAGGAAAATACAAGCGCTCCTCG